AGTTAGCAGTTGAGCACTTAACTACTGCACCACCAGGGCTCCATAGGCATGGATTGTTGTCATTGTTAGGTGACGTCGAGTTGGTTCCAACTCACAGCCACCCTATGTACAACAGAACAAAATATCATCTGGTCCTGTGCCATCCTCACAATCGTTGTTATGCTTCAGCCCATTGTTGCAGCCGTTGTTTCTCTCCATCGCATTGAGGGTCTTCCTCTTTTTCACTGACCCTCTACTTTACCAAGCATAATGTCCTTCTCCAGAGACTGGTCCCTGCTGATAACATGTCTAAAGCACAAGAGATGAAGTCTCGTCATCCTCTAGTTTCTAAGGAACATTCTGGAGGTATTCTTCCAAGACAAAAAATTTGTTCGTTCTTCTGGCAATCCATGGTATATTCAACATTCTTCACCAACATCATAATTCAAAGGTGTCAATTCTTCTTTGGTCTTCCTTATTCATTGTTCAGCTTTCACATGCATATGAGGCAACTGAAAATATAATGGCTTGGGTCAGGTGCACTTTAGTCCTCAAGGTGACATCTTTGCTTTTTAACACTTTAAAGAGGTCTTTTGCAGCAGATTTGCCCAGTACAATATGTTGTTTGATTTCTTGACTGCTGCTTCCATGGGCACTGACTGTGGATCCAAGTAAAAATGAAATCACTGACAACTTCAATATTTTCTCTGTTTATCATGATAGGTTTGGATTGTTGTTGTTGTTAAGTGTTACAGGGTTGGTTCTGACTCACAGCGACCCTACGCACCACAGAACAAAACACTGCCCGGTCCTGCACCAACCTTACAATCCTTGTCATGCTTGAGCCCACTGCTGCAGCCATTGTGTCAATCCATCTCATTGAGGGTCTTCCTCTTTTCCACTGACCCTGTACTTTACCAAGCATGATGTCTTTCTCCAGGGACTGATCCCTCATGACATGTCCAAAATATGTAAGATGTAGTCTCACACAATTAAGTGTTCGGGAATTCCCATTCTTCACAATGTTATCCATAATTTGTTATGATCCACACAATTGAATGCCTTTGCATAGTCAATAAAACACAGGTAATACCATCTTTCTGGTATTCTCTGCTTTCAGCCAGAAGCCATGTGACATAAGCAATGATATCCCTGGTTCCACGTCCTCTTCTGAATCTGGCTTGAATTTCTGGAGGTTCCCTGTTGATGTACTACTGCAACTGCTTTTGAATGATCTTCAGCAAAATTTTATTTGTGTGTGATATTAATGATATTGTTCGATAATTTTCATATTCTGTTGGATCATCTTTCTTTGGAATAGGCATAAGTATGGATCTCTTCCAATCGGTTGGCCAGGTAGCTGTCTTCCAAATTTCGATGACCCTGTACTTTGCCAAGCATGATGTCCTTCTCCAGGGACTGGTCCCTCCTGACAACATGTCCAAAGTATGTAAGATGTAGTCTCGCCATCCTTGCTTCTTAGGATTCTGGTTGTACTTCTTCCAAGACAGATTTGTTCATTCTTTTGGCAGTCCATGGTATATTCAATATTCTTCACTAACACCACAATTCAAAGACGTCAATTCTTCTTCAGTCTTCCTTATTCATTGTCCAGCTTTCGTATGCATACAATGCGACTGAAAATACCATGGCTTGGGTCAGGCGCACCTTAAACTTCAAGGTGACATCTTTGTTTTTCAACACTTTAAAGAGGTCTTTTATAGCAGATATGCCCAATGCAATGCGTCTTTTGATTTCCCGACTCCTGCTTCCATGGGTGTTGACTGTGGATCCAAGTAAAATGAAATCCTTGATAACTTCAATCTCATCTCCATTTATCATGATGTTGCTTATTGGTCCAGTTGTGAGGATTTTTGTTTTCTTTATGTTGAGGTGTAATCCATACTCAAGACTGTAGTCTTTGATCTTCATCAGTAAGTGCTTCAAGTCCTCTTCACTTTCAGCAAGCAAGGTTGTGTCATCTGCATATCACAGGTCATTAATGAGTCTTTCTCCAATCCTGATGCCCCATTCTTCTTCACATGGTCCAGCTTCTCGGATTATTTGCTCAGTATACAGACTGAATAGGTATGGTAAAAGGATGCAACCCTGATGCACACCTTTCCTGACTTTAAACCACACAGTATCCCCTTTGCTCTGTCCAAACAACTGCCTCTTGTATGTACAGGTTCCACAAGAGCACAATTAAGTGTTCTGGAATTCCCATTCGTCACAATGTTATCCATAATTTGTTATGATCCACAAAATAGAATGCCTTTGCATAGTCAATAAAACACAAGTAAACATCTTTCTGGTATTCTCTGCTTTCAGCCAGGATCCACCTGACATCAGCAATGACATTCCTGGTTCCACGTCCTGGGTCGTCCAACTGGGTTTGGATAAAGAGATAGCAATTGCCTAACACTAGACTGCGTCTGTATTTTAAAGCTAGAGTCCTCTGATGCAATAGGAAGCATTCATAAGATCTGTACTTGAGTCACTATGGTTAACTTGAAGAGCTGAGCTTAACCTCCAACATTAAATAACTCTTGCCTGTCACACTTGTCAAAGCTCTCAAGAATAGAGACTCTTTACATAATTTATCGCCTTACCCACCTCAAAGACAAAATCTAACCAGTACTAACAAGCACCTTAAATTAGTCATATTCAAGTGGCTGACTCTACCTACTGTTCTGCAATCAAGGAATATTTGTATTCTTTGAAAATTAAATAGAGCCCAAATTTGTTACTACTTAAGGCAAATATGTTTAATCATGGAGGAAATTTTTGGAATGGGCTTCAGTTTTCCTTCATTACGTCATTACTGCTTAATTCAAATGGCATGAACTAGGTTTCACTAGCAGCTGAAATATTCAAACTAAACATAGTTAATAATTTAGCTACCCTAACTTTGGTTAAAACTAAGTTATTTTTGTCTCTTGATTTATATATTAAGACTTCATATCTGAAAACCTTATAAGGTGAATCTAATAAATACTAATTATCTCATAATCTTACCTCTAATCTAGTTAACTGCTGTGCATATTTGCTTCATGGTACCCAGAACCAAACAACAGTATCTAACATCCAAGAATCCTTTTTGCAGATCTTCAAATTTTGTTTTCCTTCCCGGCAAAACTCAAGCTTTGGATTTAGGCATAAGAGCAAGGATATACCATCTAGGCAACTGAGTACCAGGGTCTGATAAAGACTGAATATGCCCCCTTCCTGGCTATATAAGTCTGTTCAAAAAGAATGAAAAAAGAAGGGTAGATGCCCACAAAGAAAACTCTTACTCATCTTTTTCTTTTCCCAAATGTTCAAACAAAAGAATTTGACACTGAAGCCTAAAAACAGACTATGCCATAAAAATGTAGGTATTCATACTCATTTACTACAGTAGGCCTCAGTCTTGATTTAGTAGCTAAATACCACACTCTTCCACATAAAGAATAAGGCAGAGTCAACCACCATCCTAGGCAAGGGTTTAAAGTCGTCTTCGTGGAAATCCACAGTTACTCTGAGGATTCCTGGAGAATGACTCTCACACATTTAGGCAAATTTTAGAATCTATGTCTTTGTCAAGAAGCATGGCAGTTATTTATATTGTTCATAAATGTTCTGTGCAATCACAGGAAGTATTTTGAAAGAAGCCTCTGGCTTCAAACGAACTTTTGGTTTTCTGTAACCAAAAAAAAAGATGCTGAGCCCAAAGCTGACTAACCATCTTTCTCTGAGGGATTGACATGCATTTTTTTATATTTGGGCACAGAAGTTTGTTCTTAAATAAATGATATATGGGTTTCAATTCTACAATCCTTTCTCCACAGTAATATGCTGTAAATGGAAAGAACACTAAACTAGCAGACAGTATACCTGTGTTCCCCATCACTGTGGTGTCAGCTGGGTAATGACACCCTCCATGGGCCTCAGTTTATGATCTGTAAAAGGAGGCCAGTTCAAAGGTGTCCTCCAACCTTAAACACGCTCCCATTCAAATGCTCTATTGCGGACTGAGCTTCTTAACACCAATAATTATTGAACAGTGTAGATTTGGCTACCATTATTTAAATTTTCCCCAAAGTTCCATAACAAATATATTTTTAAATGATCACAAGTATAATAACAAATTTTCTCAATTCAGGGTCACACATCAGCACTCATCCCACCCATCACACCAGCCAGAGTTCAGGTTTTCATACATAAGAGTGAGGAGAATGTATACTCTCTCAAAGAGAATGGTATTTATGCTCCAAAATAACAACTGAAAAAGCAAATGACAGAGAAATAACATACCTGAGGGGGTAGAGGGATTGGTTTAGGGACTGTGGTATAAGTATTCCCCCAAATCTTCATCTAGGTGACCTGATAGCTGAATGAGGGCAAGGTGTTTGAGGAACAGAAAGTTTCACTCCCAAAGAAGTCTCCAATGGGTGACGAAAAACGTTCTGAAAGAAACCTGGTTTCTCGTGTGGGGCTTGTCACTAACTAGGAGTGTAACTTCGGGTAAGTAATTCACTCACTCTGAGCTTCGATTCTCATCTGTGAAATGCTAAAGCTGAACACGAGGAGCTGGCCCCTCCCAAAGCAGCCATTCCTTTCCTGTAATACAGGTTTGTCAATATTCAGAGTTAAAACTTCTGAAAAAGCCTCTATGGCTTCCCCACCTTCTATCAGATGACAGAATCATGGAGTAGAGGACGTCTTTTCATCTTTTAAAATTATGAGGGCTTCCAGCCGATTTAGCAGAGGCATCTAATCAGCATTATTTATTTATTTATTTAATCCTGCTTTTAAATTCCTCAACTACTACTGCTAGTTCCATTGTCCTGATCCCACCAGGGTCCACCTGACCATGTCGCACTATTTCTCCCTATTTGGCTTAGCCTCTTTTCTCCTAAACGCACATTGGCGAGGTTAGGTTGAGGAGAAAGAAAAAGACGGAGAGGAACCGAGGGGCCCATTGCTCCCGACGGACGGAAACTTCGCGAAGGCCCTTCCCGGAGCGGCCGCACCCTTACCCGCGATGTCCCACAGCTGCAGCCGCACCAGCGTCCTGCTGTCCCAGTTGAGGACCTTGAGGGCGAAGTCCACCCCGATGGTGGCCCGATAGTGCTGGGAGAAGAGCTGGTGGACGTAGCGCTTGATGATGCTGGTCTTGCCCACGCCGAGCTCGCCGATGACAAGCACCTTGAAGAGGTGCTCGCGGGTCTCGGGCACGGCGGCGGCAGCCGCCCCCCGGCCCGGGTCCCGGGCTCCCCCGCCCGCCATGGGCTCGCCCGGCTACCTCGCAGCCCGCACGACCCGGCCCGCTGCTGTCGGCGAGCTCACCGCGCCGCAGAGGTGCGGGCAAACTCGTTCCCCGTGCCGGCCCCTACCCTCTGCCGGCCGCGGAAACTCCAAGGCCCGCCCGGCCGGCCGGCCGACACCGCCTGACGGGTCACAGGACCCGGAACCTCCGGCCACAGGAGCCCGCGCGGGGCGGGGAAAGGGCCGGGGACCGGCCGGGGGAGGGCCCGGGGCCGCTCCCCACTGCCTGCATTCCCGCCCGGCCCCAACTTCAGCCACTTCCTCACGTCCCGGCCCTTCTTTTCCCGGCGGCGGCGCCGAGCCCCAGCCGCCCCCTGCTGGGCCCCGGCGGAACAGAGGAGCACGGGGGCCGGGGCAGCCCAGGGCCGGCGGAGGCGAACGGCGCCCAAGTGCTCACTGTGTGCGGCAAACAGTGCTGAGGCGGCCGAGCCACTCGTGAACCGCAAGTGTGAGCGCAGAGGACACTGAGAAGGCTGGCCAGGGTGCGGCCCAGCCTTGCTGAAGGCGCTGGACTAGAAAGAAACTTCCTTCCCCGACTCTAAAAAAACTTGCCAACTCATAGCGTTCTGAGATATAGCGACCTTGTAAGACAGAATAGAACTGCCCCAAAGGGTTTCCAAGGAGCGGCTGGTGGAGTCCAAGTGCCGACCTTTTGGTTAGCAGCGAACTCTTAACCACCGCACCGCCGTAGCTCCTGCCCAGAGGAAATTCAACACGTAGAGGTCATGGCGTTTAGCCGCTAGCAGTCTGCTTTGTAAAACATGGGAGGAAGTGGCAGAATGACCTTGAATTCAACAAAGGACTGATAAAGCTTTACTATTTAAATCAAGGAATGAGTCCCAGAAGGGAGACAAGGGTCTTTAAAGCCGTCTGTTGACCTGAGTTTTTATTTTCCCTCCCCAAATGTCTTTTTTAAGCCTTCAGATGTGTTTAAATTAGATGTAAAAACTCTGAGGTATATCCTGGGAAAGGATGAAAAATACTAGTATTGTGGACTTCTATTTTGAAGGAGAAAGATAGGAAGCCTTACCTTGCTTGCTGTGTTTATAAAATTGAGGGACACCCCCCACACCTCCTGTTTAGAAACACCTGGAGCTGATATCATCTGGTAGCTTCCTTAAATAAACTAAAGCGGTGGCTTACCTTGCTATCCTCACTATAATTGACAGCCATTGAAAGATGTTTTTTTCAGAGGTGGAGGCGTTTTAAAATTTAGAAATCAAAGTGGGAGTAAAACCTTTTCTAGAATAACTATTGAAAAATAATGGAGCCGCCTCTTAGGAAGTTTTATGGCCAACCAGCACATGGCCTGCCTCTATGTTCACCCAGTTCAAGAGCCCTTCCAATGCTATCTCCAGCTTGGGGAAAGAGGAAATCTCCAGTTCTTGCCTTTGGTGCGGCTTATTGTACCATATGTACACATTGCTATAGATTTTTGTCGATTCCTTCCTTCCCTAACTCTCCTAGATTTTCACTGACATTAGAAATAGAATTATGGTGCTAAAATCATATAAGGTGATTTAAAATTGGAAATGGTCACAGCTAAAGGCAGGATAGTAGTTTGGATCAATGGTTCTTAAACTTGAGTGTACACCAAGGGTTTGCAAAAACAGTTTACAAGCTGCCCCAGAGGGGTTCTGATTCAGAAGGTCTGGGATGGAGACAGAATTTGCGTTTCTAACAAGTTCTCAAGTGATACTGATACTGAAGGTCTAGGGCCACGCTAACCTGGATCAATGCTTGCTTCTCAAACTTAAAAGCACATATAAATCACCTAAAATCTTGTTAAAGTGCAGATTCTGATTCCGTATATCTGGGATGGGGGCCTGGAGTTCAGAATTTCTAACAAATTCCTAGGTGGTGCCAATACTGTTGGTGGATCGCACGTTGAGTAGCAGGAGTTTAGATTAGAATTCAGTAGTTTCTGTGTCTGCTGTGTATCTGACTAACCTGGAAAACTAGCTACCTAATATAACTCAGACCTTCTGTTTCAGATATTTTAGAGGTAGACCCCAGGAATCTGCATTAAACACACACAAACACCACTCCTAGGTGAGTATGATGTATACTTTTGAGTTAAGAAACCACTGAAATATCAAGTAACATAGGTAAGTACTGAACAGTGTCTGCAGGTGCAGCCCTAAATTGGAGAAGGGTGGGAGTTGGGTGGGGAGAATGGAGAAATCTAAGAATCTCTGGTTAGGACTGCTGATATTTTAGTGGGGAAACAACTTTTTTATACATAAAATAAAGAGGAAATAATATAAGTAATCTGAGACTTCTGGCTGAATAAAAAAGACTGCCTTTATTTTAAGTAAAAATTTCCATTTAATACTTATAGGAATGGCCTACTTAGAAAATGACCCTGCTCCAGCCAGAACAGAGCACGCTCTCTCTGCACTTGCTGTGTCCTCTATCTGGAATATGTTCCAACACCATCTCCCCAACCCCAACTCTCCCAAGTAAACTCCTCCTTATATTTTACATGCTAGATCAAAGGATTGACTGCTCTTTTCACTCTGAATTCTTCTAGCAGATCTATTCATTCATTTATTTATTCAGAAGTTTATGATTGTGCTAGGAAATGTTCTAGACAATTGCAGATATAATGATGAGCAGAATGGACAAGGTTCTTGCGCTCAAGGACTTTATATTATAATGGGAGCAAGACAGATAATTAAAAAGCAACCAAATAAACGAGATAATTTTCAGATAATTATAAATTTTATGATGAAGATAAAATATGATAATATTATTTAGTGGGTAATCATTAGATAAGGAATAAAAACTACACTAATCAGCAGATCTGCCCAAGAGAAAATATTGAAAGTAGGTGTCAAGTTTCATTTGTTTCTTGCATGGATAGCCAATTGACCCAGGACTGTTCATTGAAAAGACCATCCTTTTCCCATTCCTCTGCAGTGCCACCTTAGTCTTCATTAAAATGCTCGTAAGAATGGGTCTATTTCTGCAATCTCTCTTCTTTTCTATTAGTCTATTAAAAAAAAAAAAAATCTGTTGCCATCTGTAGTTGGCTAGGGCTCTATAGGACTTGGCTGGGCTGGACTTGGCTGATCAGGGTCAACTGCTTCATGTGTTTTTCATCTGCCCTGGTCCAGGAGCTTTTCAAATGGGAGATGTTCTAAGAAGCAAACAGAAACTCATGTGCTTCTTAAGGCCTTGGTTTAGAACCAGCACACTGTTCTACCCACAATCTTTTGTCCTGGTGGCCCTAACACAACATCAATGGAGAGGGAAAATATCCTCCACCACATGAGCAACAGGAGAAAATATTTGCTGAAAAGTAATCCAATTTATCACACTTATGTTACATTTCATTTTCTTTTTTGTTTTTTCTGGATGATTTACTGTTGATTTTTTTTCACAATGATATTTATAATTTCCAAGAACGCTTCTTTGTTCTTTGATTATTCTTTTTTTCTAATAGTACCATTGTCTTTGTAAACAAAAACAATATTTTCTCATATCTATCTGAAGAATCTATTGTTTCTCTTTTTAAAAAAAATCGTTTCTGCTTTCTGAATGTATTTTATATCCTTGTAGTTTTTGTTTGTGTGCCTTGTCTCTATACTAGGTATTAGAGGCTGTCCTCAAATGCCTGGTGATACTTCATTGACTTAAGAGTGAGAAACTATCGTTAACTGGAAGTTCTGGGAGCACAGGCAGGGATTATTGACTGGTGGGTTTCGCTGCAAGATAACTGGGTGGGTGAACCAGCTATTTTGTTACACTGCTCCCATGTCAGCATCACTGAAGTATTCAAGTTATCCACAAAAGAATGTCCTGTCTCCTGACAAATATAAGCCTAGCTGCTACCTAGAAGGGATGGAAGTCTCAATGTACAGTATGTAGACTTTCACCTACCCCCTCACTTCTCATTTCATTATGGCACCTCACCATTCGTTATACCATGCTTGGTGTCTTCTCTGGTGTAATCCCTCCTGATAATAAACCTTATGTATTGTGCAGGAGGGTGGATGGGTCTGTGTCTATTCCAGGACTTTGAACCAGCCTAGAATGGTTCAGGAACAGTTCGGTAATTGTCAGTATAAGCAAGGGCAGTGTATGCATTGCAGAGCTAACAAATCTGTTACCCGTTGGATTTTGACCAAGTAGGAAATAAACAGGGTGCCCCACTCAAAGATGACAGCTCACCACAGTGCTGTGAATGTGCATTGCTCTCCGTAGTCCTGCCCATATTCCAGTCTACCGCTATTTGTTTCCTGCTCAGGTCAAACTCTGAGCGGCAACAAATTTGGTTGCTATGCAACATGTATGCTGCCTTCCTTTACATCGGCAATTACTGAACCGTTCTGAACCGTTGGGGACCAGCTGGAAGCCCTACTCTATTCTCCCCTTTTATAAAACACCACACAGAAGGGATTAGGGTTAGAACCTGTCCTACTCAGCATGATCTTGTTTAATTTAACTGATAACAAAAGAAAAACCCTATTTCTAAACAAGATCACATTCATAGGTACCAGGGGTTAGGACTGCAATGAATCTTTTGGGGGGACAGATTCAACCCATAACAGAGACAGTGGTCTGAGGTCAGTGTCTGGCTCTGCTTCTTCCTGTGTGATCTTCAGTGGTCATGACCTCTCCAACCTCAGTTTTCTCAACTTTAAATGGAGTTAAAATGCATGCCCTGTGTACTTCACAAGTGGTACATAGATAATATTCATAAATGTGCAGTGCATTTTACAAATGTATAAAATATGCTAAAGATCAATGTTACTTTAAGGAACTACTGGATATCTAGTGCTGAGCTCCCTGTCAGGTTCTTGTGTCGTGCATGTGTGAATCTGTTTTCTGCATGTTCTTCTGTTTAAATTTTCAGCCTCTTGTTTCTCTTAAATGTCTGTAATAACAAAATATGATTAGAATAAAAACATAAAAGTGCACCTATTATGAACATAATGTTAAGTAATTATAAATGTTTCAAATATTTTAAATGCATTATGACATGAAATTTTGCAATATTTTTCCATAGGTCATGTATTCTTGTGTATCATATATCACGTATATCACACACAAGTAAAATTTTGCTGAAAATAATTCAAAAACAGTTGCAGCAG